GAGAGAGAGAGAGGAACCCCCGCATTGGACATTTGGAGGTCTTCTTTTTCTTGTTCTTACATGTAAAAAGAAAGCATAATGGCTCCGAGTGCGTGTGAGAAAAATAGGAATCACGTTGAATATTTGGAGGCCATCTTCTTTTTGTTCTTGTAAGTAGAGAGAGCACATGGGCCCATGGGAGTGTGAGAGTGGGGGAGAGAGCGACGGGCCTTAAACGAGCCTGGACTTTTTTTTTTAAAGGTGACTTCCTTAAAACAAATGAAGAAAAAAACATTCAAGGGGGTGGCACAAGATGGAGGCCCAGACCCGCCTAGGCGGGTGCCTTGGGTGTCTAGGCGACCACCTAGACTCTCCCACTTAGGCAGATTGATGGCCAGGCTGCCTAGGCAGCAAGGCAACTGACTTTTTCAACACTCCTCCAAGGGAATTATGATTTTTGGTACTATCCCAAATACTCATTTTCTTATGCGTGATGACTTCTTGTAGGCATCAGAGCATATAGCAACTGCTTATGCTGAGCTCAGAAGTGGAAGTGCAGATGTAAAGGTTTGCATTTAATCTGCCCATGAATACAAAACTTTTTATTTTGGTTTGGGTGTAGTGCCTCAAGGCAATAAGCTCATTCTTTTGTTTTTTTCCCTTAATTCATCTCACAGTCCACAGGAGGCACACTCCCAATAACTGCAAGAACCCTAGAGACCATCATTCGACTCTCTACTGCTCATGCTAAATTGAAGTTGAGGAATGAGGTACTCTGTCTGGGTCTTCAAGTTCTTTATTTTGTATTCAATGTTTCTAAGGTTCAGAAAGACTAAAAGGACAACTTGGAAGTGAACTGATTGGACCAACCTATATCTAAAGTTCCAAGCTTGTGCAAAAAAAGTGCAAACAGCCTGGCTAGGGGCTATCTTTCCAAGGCACGGTTTGAATGTTTATTTGATATGCTTCAAAATGGATTGTGGTTTCCTTCTTGTGCATTATATGGATGGAGACACTCTCCATCCATAACTTTAAATTTCTCAATAAAAGTTATAATTTTAGAGTCTCAAGAAAACATAAGTTAGAATGGATGGATACAGAAACAATTTGCCTTTTATTTTGTTTTGTTGAATGGTTAAAATCATTAAAAGTTTGACATCTTTCTTTTATTATGTTTTTCCTTTAACAATCTCTATGATGGCTTCAGGTATTGCAGGTTGATGTGGAGGCTGCCCTTAAAGTATTGAACTTTGCCATCTATCACAAGGAGCTGACGGATATGGAAGAGAGGGAGCAGGATTGGGAGAGAGAGTTAGAGAAGAAACGGAAATCAGATCATGGTGGTGGGGACACCGGTGGGACAAATCAATCAGCTCGTGCTGCAAGCCCAGATAGGTGACTTTATCAAAAAAATTAAAAAAAAAAAAGAATCTCTTAAAATCAGTTAGGACTTCCATGGATTTCCAATGCATCATGTTTAGAAAATGGTTTTTTTGTCTGGGAAATATCTGGGCAGTACTTTTGAAAGCAACTGCATAAATCACAGGTGTTCCAGAGACCTGTTAAGCAAGCGTTCAATGTACTCTCCCAATAGTCTCCAAATTGGTTTTTGTTTCAGTTAATCAACAAATGATATTCTTTTGTACCTATTGTACAGCCAATAAAAAAGAACAAATTATGGGTTTTTGTGCAGGGAAATTGGTAATGCAATGGAAGTAGATGAGTCTTTAGCACCACCTGAGATTGATATTTCAGCCAACAGGTGTGTACTATTTCTTTAACCAAGTTCTTCAAAATGCTGTATTTTTGTTGTCATTTGTGATAGATTTACTAGAAATTCCTATAAAAAAATATAATAAAAAATACTATCTTAAGCCTTTGGATTCCTTGTTGTTTATTGGGTGGTGGACGTGATGAAAAAAAAGTAACCGTCTTGTCAACATTTGTTGCTATGTTTATGCAGAATGGATAGGTTTAACCGCATCTTCAGTCAGCATATGATAGTAAACCATTTGGATGTTATCTCAGTCACTGCGATTGAGCAGATAGTAAACCAGGGTGCACCTGTTCCGTACACAAGGCCAGAGATAACAACTCTCTTACAGGTATATTCTGGACTTACTGTTTATGTCTATCTCAGTAAGGCTGGATAACTTGCATGATATTGGTGAAATTAGATCGAAAGTACTCCTTTATTCTCTCCTTCCCAGTATGAAAAGAAATCTAGCTAAAAAAATGTTCGTTTTCTTTTTATTGACAGAGATTACAATCAGATAACAGAGTGATGATAGTAGATGACATGGTTCATCTGGTTTAAAGCGAAATCTTGCAGAGTAGGTGCCAAACATATCTGTTTTTTTATTTTTTTGGAAGGGTAACTTACAATGTATTTTCTTCCACTGGGAAAAAATTAGTTCTATTATTGACATACGCATATTCTGGCTAAGCCGTGTAGGATGCGTGTCAGGAGCAAAAATTTCTGAGAATAGAAGATCTTATGATGCAGAGAAGTCACACTGTTCATTCTTGTAATTGTTCTTTGGTTTTCATCTGAACAGAGCTCCACATAGTGTATTATGAAATCCCTACAAATTGATATTTGAATTTAACTTGAGGATATTTTCACTCAGTTTCCCCACTTCTTTTCTTTTGGTTGAGACATGGGAATTCGGATTTCTTATATGCGTCCATGGCTGTACTCGTAATTTTGGTGTACTAAGGGAGTCGGATTTCTTATATGCATCCCATGGCTGTACTCATAATTTTGGTGTAGTAAGTTGAGAGAGAGAGAGAGAGAGAGAGAGAGAGATGCTGCTATGACGAAAAGAAAAGCATATGGATTTTCTTTCTCCTTGCTTTGTGTTTTAGACAAAGGATTTAAGGCCATTTAGGAGACAATAAGGAATTCACCTTTTGCTTTCTCCTTGCTTTGTGTTTTAGACAGGATTTAAGGCCATTTAGGAGACTATAAGGAATTCACTTTTCTTGAAGAGGCCACTGTTTCTTCTTGCTATTAAAATAGAAGATTTTCTGTGAACTTCACAAATCCTAATAACCCTGTGGTTATTCCCATACTTATCTTGCAATAGTTGCATGTCATTTCTTTGCAGCTTATTCACTTGCAGGATGTAGGGAGCTGAGAGGAGTGTGGATTATGGTTCATCCAGGGAGCTTGCTGTTGACTAATCCTGGTCTGCTTTTATGTGCAGGCTCTCTAAGCAAATGTTCATGGGACCTGGTAGTAGAGAGCTTGGCTAGAGATTGGGATTGATTTTTCTAATTTTGTCAATGAATGGCTAGTTAAGGACCTTCTGGTCTTTCTGCCTCTTGTCAGGATGCCAATGTGGTGACCAATAGGCTAGAAACGAATGAAGAACTTTCTTTACATTGACAATGGGGTATGCTCTTTTTCAGGGTGCAGAATATGGCTGCACTAGATATCAGCATCCAATCTGGATATCTGAAGAGCTAATTGGTGACACTCAAGCATAGAACTCTTCATCTAGAATGAGGTCAAACGTAATTGAGGATCCTATAAATAAGAAATAAATGGAGATTCATTGGTCTAAGCACATGCCTATATCTCCTCCATTGAAGGGAACATCAGTCTGGTGATAGTCACTCTCTTAGACATCCAATGAAATCTTCTAACATACTCTAAGTTCTCATCCAGTTTTCCTTCATCTGGCACTAGTTTGAGGCATGCTTCGAAGGCACCTTAGATGCTTTGCATGCTAGTGCACTTCACTTGGATGATAAATCCTAGTTGGATTAAGAATATGGTTTTCTTTGATCTTTCTACCTCTGTGCTAAAGAAAAGTACTTGATTCCCAATTCTTTCATTTCACAAGTCTTGTGACAATTTCTCGAGTAGTTCTTTACCCTGTACATCATCCAATGTAAACCGGAGACTTCAACAAGCATATAGAAGTATTTTCTCTTCAACTTCTTCACTCGTTCTTTTTAACACCAGTGCTGATCTTAATACCAAGAATGTGGTACTTGTTCATATTAGTAATGGTGGCAATGCCCTCTTCGGCATATCAGGATCCAGGAGTTTGGCTTTATCCACGATCAACTATAAAAACAACTTCATGGGGATCCTGGACAGAAATATGTTGATTGGATGACCTATTGAAACTTTTTGTTCAATCATTCCATGCTTGAATCAGATAAACTGGGGCCATAGTTGGACTTGGCCTTTGTGGTTTTTGTCTTTTCTGAAATTTCTTCTGCACTCACCTGTTTCGATGTTTAAAGTTTCTTATGCAGTGGTTTTCCCATGCAACTTGTTTAATCAACAGACTGCTCAAAGCCTAGTTCAAGGAAAGGAACTTCTTCACTCAAATCTTTTCAACATCATTGCCAAGCCTATGGTACCAAGGATGTGGTACTTGTTCATTTTAGTCATGTTGGTAATGCCTTCTTTAGCATATCGGGATCCTGGAGTTTGGTTTCACCCCTGATCAACTATAGAAACAACTTCATGGGGATCCTGGACAGAAATATGTTGATTGGATGGCCTTTCGAAACTTTTCTCAATCATGCCATACTTCAATCTGTGGCAATAGCTGAACTTGGCATTTGTGGTTTTTTCCTTTTCTGAAATTTTTTCTGCATTCATCTGTGTCCATCTTCATGGCTTTTTATGCCTCGGCTTTCCTTGCCCTGTTTAATCAACAGACTGTTCAAAGCCTAATGCAAGGGAAGCTGTTCAAATCTGTAGCGTCGATTTCTGCTTATAATTTTGCTCAGTAACTTACCAAAAAAAATTTTGCTCAGTAGACTCACTCAAAGAACGATAGGGTGTCCACGTCTGCTCATCAGAGAATGAAGCCTTCAAAGGGAACTACCTCAAAATGTTTTCGATGGAAACAGGTCTCAATTGCACGGGCTGACAAGAGCTCATTACTTTTTCCATGAGATATTATGAAGGACTTGCTACATTTTGAAGGTTTCTTGGATTGATCAGGTAGAATGCCTTTAGAACTAAGGGCCTAAGTAGAGATCTGGGTGGGAAGAGAGTGCGTTTTTACTATAAAGATTGTACGGAACCATAGAAATAATTATCTTGGGAAGGGTTTCTTAGTGAAATCTTGACAAACATTTTCTGTACCAAGAGCATGAAAGTCGTGCATTTACTGTGGCTACAATTCAAATATGTTTAATTTTTCGGGTCTTTGATGTCCATTTGCTCATTGCCTGGAATCATTGTATACAGCCAGCTTTGACACCCTTCTTAAGCACTTTTTATAGTCTTTTTTTTTTTTTTCATTTTGGGTTCATAATAAGTCTTGGCTTATGTGTATCAGCACCTGGGCTCAATTGAGCGATACAGCCAGCTTTTGACACCCCTTCTTAACTAGTAAATATTCCTTCATGTTCAATGATCCACAAGAATTTTACATAGTAAGTAGTAACCCAGACAAACCCAGTTACCAAAAGATCTCTTATCTTTGATTTAAAATGGTATTTTATTGCAGTCCAACAGTTTTGAAGAAAGAGTTCAGTCACTATTAGTGATCAGACTTTCTCATCGTGAAGACTCGTGTTCACGTCCTCAGTCTTTCTAAATGAATAACTGTTGACTGGTACATATAAAGCAGGTACATATAAATCAAGTGTACATACATACCATGAATTTCATTACATTTTACAATGAGATCCAACTGATCATTTCTCTCTCATTCTCCCCTTCCTCTCTGCACCTCTCCTTGAGCCAAGCCAAAATATCCCCCCTCACCAATTCCACATTCTCATCAGTCTCCCCAAACAAAAGCGAGTGCATCATTCCCTCATATACCCTTATACTCTTATCCTCGCTCCTCGCCGCCTCATACAGCGACCTGCTCACTTCCGGGTCGGTAACCTCATCTGCACTTCCATGCACCACAAGAAATGGTAACTTCACCTCTGATAGCCTCTCACTCAACCAATCAGTGAACCTTAAAAGCTCCACAACAGTCCCAAGTCTCGGTCTCCCTGCATATCTCGTTGGATTCCTCCTTGCCACCACCCTCTTCTCCAGAACCTTCACTGATTTATCCAACAAATCCGCTGTAGGCACCACCGGCAATGTCGGAAAAAACCATGAAATTAGGGTTAGGGCTTGAGGAATTGGCCACTTGGGCCTAACTTTGTCTGATATTTTACACATAGGGGCAACAAGCACAGCTCCATTAAAGCGATCGGGTTCGAGAAAGTGGATCAGGAGGCATAGCGCCCCACCCATGGACTCTCCAAAAAGAAACGATGGCAGCTTTTCAAGATCAGGGTTAGAGGCCATGGTGGATTTGAAGAAGGAGAGGCAATCCTGCGCAAGCAAAGGGAGGTTGGGAACATAGGCTTTGAGGCCTTGAGAGCGGCCATGGCCCTCGAGGTCGAGTGCAAAGCAAGCGAAGCCATTGCGAGCCAGGTGGATCGCAGTGGCCTGAAATGTCCACGAGATGTCGTTGCCATAGCCATGGAGCATGAGAATGATGGCTCGAGTAGAGGAAGAGAGAGGAAGCCATGAACGGGTGAAGAGAGAGAGGGAGCGAGGTGAGGTGTAGAGAGAGGAGGTGGAGCGGACACCTTGAAATCGGTAGTAGTCTTCTTCATTTGGGGTGTCGCCCCAATAGTACTTCTGCTCGCCGCCGCTCATGACCTAGAGGCCGCCCGCCCTCTTTGCTTATTATGGCTGAAACTGGATTTGCCGCCTCCACCAATTTTAGGAGGCCATTGGGTGGAGAGGATGAAGCGGAAGGCAAAGACGGCTTGCTTTTTTTTATTATTTATTTATTTATGGTCTGACACTGTGGTTGACTCTTCTTTTGTTTGGTTATCAAACGAAAAATTTGCATAGGAAGGTCAAGCCCTGGGTGGATTGATAGAAAATGAGGGTGGCCACATTTTATTTTGGGAGAATCAGGACCCGGTTTCTATGCACGGTGCTTCTTAATAAATCTATTTTTGAGATGGATTTTTAAGACTGATATGTAATCTGTAACATGAAAATCATGAAAAAATAAATAGATTTTTAAAATTAAAAATAATAATTTTAATAAAAAAACATTTGGACAGTTAGTTTTATCGTTTTTAGATGGAAGACTTACTTGCAAACTTTAAAATGGATGTTTTACTGTTTTTGGACCGCATATCTAAAAATGCAGTCCACCTTATGTGAAACAATTTTCTTTTTTTGAGTCTATATAGAAATGAGGTCCCTCTTAAAAATTTATTTTTTTTTATGAATTTTTTACCCAATTTTTAAAGGCATAATCTCTAGCATAGAAATCATGAATATTAAAAAAATAAAAATAAAATTAAACATAATAATTTTATGAAGGAAAATATTTGAACTATTAGGTTCAATTGTTTTTTAGATGGATCACCCATTTGCATCCAACTTTAAGATCCGATGCTTTATACCTTGGAGAATGCAAATGTAGGAATAACTTTCCAAATCTATCATATATAAAGACATGGTTTATACGAGGGGTGCTGTTTGCATAGTGTTGAGGCTCTAAACAATTAAAGTAAAGCCCACCTTCAAATAGTATCGAAAAATATGGTTTTTAATATTAGAAATCTTTGTGATCGCCTAAAAATATATTTTCATCTTTATTTATAAATTTTAAATATTAAAAAATAATGCAAATCGAGTAGATTTATGAAAACTTGAAAACTTTTAAAATTGACTTTGTCCAAATATGCATTACAAGATGTACTATTTTCAAAACTTGAAATCCATTTATTTCTCATGTCTGCATCTTGATGTTGAGATGATCAATCTAAAGATATTGGGGAATCACAACAACTTCTTGTAAAATTTTTGAGGTGGGCTCTAATTTGATTGTTTAGAGCTCTATATAAACTTTTTCATTCTATAGTTTGAGTTACCTCTTAAAAATCTATTTTTGAGTTGGATTTTTTGCCTAATTTTTAAGGACATAATAGGGAGATCATGAATACGAAGAAATAAATAAATTTTAAAAATTTTAAAATTAATTTTATTAAAAAAATATTTGAACCGTTAGTTTCAATTGTTTCGAGAGTTTAAGTTGTTTCAAGATGGACTACATATTTGCATCTATTTTTTAAATGAATACTTAATTCCGCAAGGACCGTAAATGTAAAAATGCGTCCCCCGCGTGAAACAATTTTCCGATATGTAAAGCTCCGAGGAGTGGTGCACACGAAATACCTCAGAGCCACGGGTGACAAGATCTTTTTTTTCTTCTTTTTTCGTTAGACAAGATCGTTTATTTATTTATTTATTTTTATTTTTATTTTTTTTTACATGTGAGGAAATCCGGGTTTTTTTTTTTTGTGACAATGGGTGACAAGATCGTTTTTGTTTTTGTGTTTATTTTTGTTTTTTTTGTTTTACACTGGGTGACAAGATCGTGTTAGTATTGGTCATAATTTTGTACTGCTGTGGGAGCACACGTTCATTTACTCCTTTGGAAAAAAAAAAATTGGAATATTTGATATTATGAATTTTTGGTATGTAAACACTACTATTTAGAAATCAACTCTCAAAAATACAAATCCTATAATATGTTTACACGAGAGTACACGTACATAGATAAATCTTTAGCATATCTCTCGTTAAGTTCCAGCACACGTGAGAGCATTTAATGCCTAGAATTTATTAATTGCTTTTTATTTTCTACTTTTACCAATATTTTTCCACCATACAATCTTTTTTTAATAAAATATTTTACTATTTTACGATTTAAAATAGAGCACCAGTTCGAAAAACTAATTTATTGTATAACAAATCTATTGTAATATTTAACAAATATTTTAATATTTATTTTAATAGTAGTACAATTCTTATATAAAAGTTAAATTTTTTAAAATCATACATTAAAATAATTTTATTTCACCATAGAAAAAATAAATTTATATTGAGAAATGAAATATAAAGTCTATTGCAAATATTTAATAAGTATTTCAATATTCATTTTAGAAGTAGTAATTTTTTATAAAAGGATAATTTTTTTGAAAAATATAAATAAAAGCAATTTCTAGGAGCATAATTTAATTCTTTTTAAAAGATAGATTATTTGATATTTATTTAATAAGTATAATGTAGTTAAAAGAAGTAATTTATTTTTAACTATGTTTAAATTTAACAAAGTATATAATTTGTATCTTATTTAAAATTAGTATCAATAATTTTTTAAATTGGTTTTAAATTAGAGAAAATATCTTATTACCCCTTATTTTTAACTTATATCTCATCAAACCCAAGAATTGAAAATATTACTTGTAAGCAAAAAGATTCCATCTTTCTTATCTTTCAACCCCCTAAACCTTTTGGACTATGTATTATTGACCACACTTATGAAATGACTCTATATCTCTCTCTCTAAAGCTCCATCTCTCTCACATCTTTGTCTCTCTCTCTCCAAACTCCATATCTCTCTAAAACCCAAACTCTATCTCTCTCTCTCTCTCACATCATCGTCTCTTTCTTTCAAAACTTCATCTCTCTCCCTAAAACTCAAACTCCATCTCTCTCTCACACATAAGAAGGTGTGCTCATGTTCGAGCTCATGTTAAACTCCTTGGCTCGTAAACTCACCGAGAAGCGAAGAGAGAGAGATAGAGTTTTAGAGAGAGGTGAAGTTTGAATAGGATGTCATTTTAGTGTTTGTTTGGGTCAAAATTTTATGATCAAAGAGATTCAGGGAGTTGTAAGATTAAAAGATGTAGACCTTTACTTATAAGTAATATTTTCAATTCTTGAGTCTCATAAGATATAAAAGTTAAAAATAAGGGATAAAGAGATATTTTCCTTTTAAATTAACTATAATATTAAAAAATCAAAATTTCATTCAAAATCTGTTAAGTTTTGCCTTGTACCCTGATAAGAATTATTTCTCCATTAAAGAAGCCACGGCTACAATGGACTGTGTTTGTGTTCACCACCTGAGCCAATACTCTTCTGCAACTCATTGCAACTTCGAGAAGATGTGTCACGGAGAATGCGCACACATAGCTTGGAACTTGGAGTCTCTTGTGCTGTGGTGAAGCAGTGAAATGGTGATAAAAAGGGTGAGAAAGTTAGGGTTAGGGTTTCTTGACAAAATTTTCAGAACAGTGTGTCAAAAAATGTACTTAGCATCCATGTCATATTTGTTGGTGTGTGTGTATGGCCATGGAGCCGTTAAAAGTGTAATATTTTTATTTCTTATAATTTAATGCTTATCTTTAAAAAAGGGAGGTTTCTTTGAGAGAGAAAGTGCCGTTATCTAACCGAAATAACCACCCACTTCCCAGGATTACAGCTTCACAGGAGGAAGCCGAACTTTGGAGAATGACCTCCTCCATCTCTCGTTAAGAAGGGTTTCATAGCCATGGGGAGGGACACAGAAATTTACAGAGTTCTGGTAAAAGCCTGATCTCTGCAATCGATAGTCTCACGACACTGCCCCTAATCCTGGGAGTGGGTCTATCTCTTCCCTCAAGTTTTCAACATTGGTATCAGAGCAGGTTGTGGAAGCGTGGTGGGCTCATAAGCTACAGATCCCAGGTTCAATTTTTCATTTTTATTGGTGTTTTATCCTGATTTTAATTTACAGTAATTTTGATATTATGCTTTGTCATTCATATATATCTTGCTGTAAATTTTATGTTCTCAATTTTGGCTCTCTACTGCTGTTGCTTGAGCTATGAATCACAATTGCATGAGTCGTAATTTTTTCCATTGTTAACGATTTTTTGGTGCACGGTACTTTACTAGCCCTATCTTGATGCCCATACATATTGGATGATAACGTTATTGATAATTTAACAACCTTGACGCTCTTATTGATAAAGTTATTGATTTATTGATTATTTATATATATCTTCTTTATTATTTATATATCTTCTTTCCTCTTTTTTTTCATAATCCTCTACTCTTAATTCACCTTCTTGCCTACGTGATTCATATATATCTTGTTGACTCATTGTTCTTGATTCGTATATATCTTATTGATAAGGTTATTGATGCTATATGATTCATTGTTCTTGTATGTAGCAAGTCGGTGACTGATAAGTAGGAGATCTCATACATATCTGGATAGATACTTAGCTCTTGCAGTGAATTAATAGTTACCCAAGATCTCGTACATATCTGGATAGATACTTCGCTCTTGCAGTGAATTAATATTTACCCAAGCGCGTATGTTTTTTTTTTTTTGAAAACTCGTACACATAGCAGCCACACACCTTAACCACTTGGCCAAGTGAAATGATAATTCTTTCTCTAATAATAAAATAAAATAAAATAAAATTAAAGATAAAATTTGCTGCTTAATTTGAGAGAGAGACATATAGAGTTACTGCTGTAATTTTAGAGAGAGAGAAAAAGAGATACATAATTGCTGAAAATCAGTTGGCTTGTATCTTTTCTTTCTTCTATATTTTATTGCTGAAAATTAGTGCATAATTTTATTGGATTATTGAAAATTGCTATGCACACAACAACTATTCAAGTAAAGGTTGTTTTAGCAACTGCGTGATTTTTTTTTTTTTTTTTTTTTTTGTGTACTTATAATTTAGGGATTTTCGACATATTTTATTTGCATAATAATTGTCACTGCATTGCATAATTATCCTATGCTTTGGTCTCTTTAAGTTAGAAAATTTCATGATCTTGATTTTGTGAATTTTTCTTTTTTGTTTGATTATGCAATGCCATATTTTTTTTGTTGAAAAATATCAAATATCATTGTAGGCTCTCTATCTTGTGCTAAGACATATTCACATATTTATGAAAATTATTCTCATGTAAGATTTAACATAAAAGTAGTTGTTACCTTACTTT